TATATTATCTCTTTCATTTTATAGTTTAGCCTTAATGATATCGATGCACAAAATGAACTGCATTCCATCTTAGTCTGTCTTACGGATACCTTTTGAGCTGTGTTTTTGACTAAAGCTTAGTTTGAATCACATGCACATATGGGGTAGTCTTGCACATGTGCGCTTGATATGGACAAGTAAGTTGGAAGCAAATCATAGGTATGGTTGATTTGATGGCTACTCTAAAGGCACTATGATGGATTATTTTATGAACCAAATGAAAAAATTTGATCGTTTAAACTCACTATTTATCCATAGGAGTATCATATTATGAATCATATACCTAGTAGCATAATGTTAGAGAATATGATAGAAGTACCAGATGTACCACATACGAACACACTTATTATAGAGATTAAGAATTATATATGAATTCACTATTGATGTGTCAGCATTATATAGTACATAAATTCTTGCATCGTTACATTAATGTAGTGGGAGGATTATCATCCAATCCGACAAAATCATGTTTTAGGTGAGACCGTTATAGACATCCCTGTTAAACATAAGTTGGACCCAATAAGCTACACGGAAACGTGAACCGATATGGATATAGATAGTTTTGGCAAGTTGCTATGAAATCAAAGTTGAAATCTATGTATTCTAATAATATCTGGGATCTTGTAGAACTTTATAGTAGGGTGATACCTATGGAAGGCAAGTTAATCTACCAAAGGATACCAGGAGATTTCTTAGTGAATGAACCATGTGTGTACAGGATAATGTCATTATTTTTTCTAATTCTATATATTGATGACATCCTACTTATTTATAATGATGTGGAAGTTTCATCATCAGTAAAGAGGTAGTTGTTCAATTACTTTGAAATGAAGGATCTTCAAGATGTAAACTATATTCCTAGGATCAAGCTTTTACAAGATCAGGTTAAAAGGAAAATATGCTTATCTTAATAATCCTACATTGATAAAGTTTTGACCAGGTTTGGTATGCAAAACTCAAAGAATGAGTTCTTACTTTATTGATATGGATTACTCTATCTAGTAAGTAGTTTTCCAAGACTAGGAGAGGAGATTGAGCAAATGAGACTGGAATAATATGATTCGTCATGTAGGGGTATCATTTATACCATAGTTTATACCAAACAGGACATTCGCTACAATGTAAGGATAGTCAGTAGATATCAGTTCAATCTTGGACTGATAGTTGGTCTGTTATGAAAAATATCATAAAATACCTTAGGAGAACCAATGATCTCATACTCATTTATAGATATGATGATGTGGTCCCAGTTGGGTATGCTAGTTCTGATTTTTAATCAGATGTAGATACTATGAGGTTCATGACTTGGTGTATGTTCACTCAATGGAAGAAAAATCAGTTGGTAGATTGTTACACAGATTTCAACTGCTTACTTAAACCTGAAGGTGGAGTACATTGCAGCCTTAAAGGCAACAAAGGAAGCCTTTTGGTTTGATCTCACTGATTTAGAGATTATGGAGCATACTAGCCTGCGTATCAAGCTATATTGCGAAAATAGTGCATAAGTAGCCCAAACCAATAACTCAAGGCTCAGTAAAGGAACAAGGTACACTAAGAGGAAGTATCATGTCTTATATGATATTGTCTGGTAAGAAAAATGTACTCATGGCTAGAACATTGCATTGGAACACAACTTTGTTAATCTATTAACAAAGGTGTCATGGATCAATAGTTTTTGATCGTCATTTGGATAACATGGGAGTTATGATAAGCGCCGAATATTGTATATTCAAGCGCCCTAAATTACATTAGTAAAGTCCGTTGTATGTTAATTTAAGTAGATTATCTTCATTTATGTGTATGTATATATTTTTAGGTCCATTTGCCAAAAAAGGAGCAAAATCAAGGCTTTGTGGAGTTTTGGCCATCAAAAGGCACAAGGCTGAATTTCTGGCAACAGTGGATCCTGAACTTTGCTCGCCATTTTGACCTTGAAAACTTGGGAACTGGACTTCCCTCATAACATGAAAGATTTAGAGCTCTGAATCAGTTTTCCAAATCTTCAAACATTTTGTCATTCGGAGCTCGGATCAGAGAGTTATGGCCTTGTTACTAGAGGTGCGCAGAACTGCCTAGTAGCAATGAAATTCTGCCTTGATCTTCATTTTCGACCAACTATCCTTGAGAATTGGATCTCCACCAAACATGAAGTATTTAAAGCTCTGAATTAGCTCTCCAAATCTTCAAACAGTTTGTCATTCGGAGTTCGGAGCGCAAAGTTATGGCCATTTCATCAAAGTAGGTCTGGGCGGAGCAAGTGAAGCATGGAGCTTTTTACACTAAATTCGAGTACTCGAGGCCTTGCTTAGAGTGCTCGAATTTTGGGCAGAATGCCCTTCGGAAATGGCTCATTTCAGCCCACTTGCACCTTGGTTTCTTCATTTTGTTTTCCTCTTTAATGAAGTGGTTGGAGATGTTGGTTGGTAGCCTCTTGGAGTGGATAAGATATCTAATAAAGGGAAGCAAGGCCACATAAGAGATTGAGCTTCATTCTACAAGATTAGAGGAGAGAGAAGAGAGCAAGAAAGGTGTGTTCTTGGAGCTAGAAGAGGGGAGCTCGAAAATGGAGGTCAAGGCTTTGCTTTCTCCTTCCTCTAGTGCATCAATGGGTAACTAAACCTCCATCTAGGGAGGTGATGAAGCCTCCTTTGTAAGCATGCTATAATCTTGTTTTAATTTGGGGAATGAAGTGTATTTGTGATTTTTTCATATTCTAGAGACTTACACATGTTCTAAATGTTCTTCAATTCAATAAATGATTGTGTTAAATGTATCATCTTGTCTTAGATTGTATGTTTCCATGATTATAGGGCTTATATCTTCATAGTTAGAATGGAGATGAGAATATGAAATGGTTTTCTTGGCATGTTTTGTGAATGTTTTGATAGTCCATTCCTAGGAACGATAAACCATACTACACCCCTAGTTTAATGTAGTTAGGTAGATGGTTCATACCAACCGTGGATGGATTATACTTAGTCTTTGATTACATGTGCATTTACCATACAAAGGAAGGGATTTGATAGGCCATTCCTAGGGGATTATACTTAGATGGTTTATACTTAGCTCTGATTGTATGAACTTCTTGAAGATAGTGTAGTTATCATACATCTCTATATATCATGGTCATTTACATAAGTAGTTCCCCAAGTTAAATTGCAAGCTAGCATGTTTATGAGGTGTGTGGTGGATTCATTTCCCTAGTCCTCTCCACCTAAGTTTCACTCCTTTTAATCTCCTTCAATTTATCGTTTTATGCATTCTGAATTCGTAGTTTCAGTGACAAACAAACAAACCCTTTATTACCCCTTATCATTCTAAGAACGATTCTAGACACTTAGGTCGCCATAGACTAGCGCAGTCCCAGTGGTTCGACTTACCCGACCAATAGCCCTATTTTACAATGATTCGTGCTATTGCGAAGGTTGATGTATAGTTGATCAACCGATCAAGTTAGATGTAATTCGAATTGGCTATAAGGGCAAGTGGGAGTTGTTGGGATTTATATGCCCTAGCATAGCAAATTCTTATTTTGATTATAGTGACATATATTCCTGACATATCTGAAATATTTATAATTTATATAATTGGTGAATTCAATGTATTATGTTTCAATTCATTTTGGAATTGATAGTGTCCACTTAATTACAAGAGATATTTATATATGTATCTGATGGTGATTAATACATGAATATAAATAGTAATCATAAATTGTTCATAGTCGGTAATTATGGACGGACTCATTATTAACTAAGACTTGAACTGGATTCGCGTTAGGTTGAGATATATTGCGAAAGCCGTCATATACAATTCCTTCCTATCTTGGTCATGACATTTAACACTTAAGCATGAGAGAAATATAGACTCTTTTATTAATTAGTAATTACTTTGATTTATTCAGCGGAATCTTTGGAATCCATAGACCGACACTTTGGGTAATTATGTAATTAATAGTTAGAGAGTTATATTTGCAATATTTGCATCATTGCTACTTGAATTTATTTTGTATTGATTATGGTTGATCACAAAGTAAATTCGAAGGCCTTCGTGTGTTTTTAGACAAAATGATTTATTATATATTTAGTTATTTAAATTATTATTTTTGTCAAACAAATATTTTATTATGATCAAGCTGAAAATAATCAAAGGTACCAAAATAAATATATTAATTAAGTAGTCGAGTTGATGGCTTTATTTATTCGATTACTAATTATGCATAGAGGGGTCAAAGTGCAACATTGACTTAAAGATTATTTATTATTTAATTAGAGTTCAATTAATTTCTTGTAATGGAGTAGAAATTAATTAATGAATTAATTTAATTGGGTCCATGGACCGGACCAATTATTAATTCATAGTAGCCAATAAAATAATAAGCCTAATAAGATTCTCACTCATAACCGAACTTGATATTGGAATTCTATTAGATTTGAGATATCACGTTACTTTTAGAGATTGAGAACAATATAATGTCTTTAATTATTATTTTTATGTTGCCTATATATACATAGAGTCTATGTATATTTTAAGTTACGTTTTGTAAAATAATTTTAGAAGACAAGAAAATATTCTCCCTCTAAAATTTTAGGGTTAGTTTTCTCATCTAATGGAGGCTTCCACAAGCCTAGCTTTCCAAGGTCATTCATGGAGGCTTATGGGTGATTCCTAAAAGTAAGATCATTACTAAGAAGATGGAGATTCAAAGAGAAAGCATCTTGCAAAAGGAACTACAATAAGTGAGAACATTCACTTTATAGGAGAGATATAAGGTTTACTTAAACCATAATGTAAGTTTTTTATCCCTAAATTGAATGTATCATTATGTTCTTCATGCATAGAACTTGTCTCTACACATGAATCAAGATCTTTATTTGAAAATCCTTATAAAGTTTTAAAAACTTCCGTTTCCCCAATAAGATGGTTGCTTCATAATTGAACTTATTTACAAGAAATACGTAAAGATGTTAGATACAATTTTGCAGAACCATTTGAAGTACGATCAAGTCAGACGCGACCTGCTATTGCTCAAGAACCAGATCCCCTTCTTCGTTCTTGAAGAATTGTTCAGGCTAACAGTGGAACCTATCCAGGTAAGTAGTACTACTATAAGGCGCGGCCCAGTCTCCCTCCGTAGATGTGTCCTTTCATTGTTTGGAGATACGATGGCACTAAAAAATATTGTTGGTGAAATAGAAAACCTAGAAAACAATTCCCCTTTTCACATACTCCATTTTTTTACACATTTCCCACCAATCTCCTTTGCAGAAGTCATCGATATTGTGCAACACAAAGAGAAACCTACATTCAAATACAGTGCAACAAAATTCCCGAGTGTAGGAGTCATGTTTAGGCCACGTATTAGAAGAGAAAGCCTATTTGATTTTATATTTAGCACGGATCGTCGTTGCTTTTGTTTGTGGAGAAGAGCTCATTTTAAAATCCCATGTTTCTCTATCAATGAATCTATTGAATTATTATTGAGAAACTTCATTGTATTCGAGTATTGTTATCCCAGTATTGACAACTACTTCACATCACATGCTGTCACCATAAGCATCCTCTTGGACTCTGCAGAAGATGTTGAATTGCTTGAAGAAGACGGAGTCATAAGTAACAAATTGGGTTTTAGTGAAGCGGTGTAAGAACTCTTCAAGGATATTGCCAGCGATGAAATCATTTTAAGAAATCAAAACTTCTTTATAAGGATATGTGGATGCAGGTGACGGATTTTTGCACACCTTGGAGACCAGTAAAACGTACGGAAGCTATGTTAAAGTTAATGAGGTATATGGATGAGCTACTTGTAATGACCCGGTCATTTTTCTTCTTTTTCTTTTTCTCAGATTTTCACGAATATTTTTTTTTCGTTGATCTTTTCCTTTCTGAGTTCGGTTTCTCATCACTTAGTATCGTCTTGAGTGCTCTGCAATAGTTTCCGAGACTTTTTCCCTTGGATTGATAACTTTCTTTGAGGACCGCGTCAATTCCACGTTTTTATTTTTTCGACACCATTCACTTTTTGTCTTTTTCCCGTTTATCATTTTTCTTTGCATAACCTTACTTCTTGTGCTCGGATTTGATTCCGGTTCTGCATGCATTCTTGATATTTGATTTTCATGACATTGGTATTTTTACTTTTGTAGAAAAGCATGCTAGTTGCTTACTTGTTTCATAAAGGGGCATGGATGTATATTTTATTGTAATTATTCTTAACTTGTGGGGTTTTAGTGTAGTTAAAAAAAGTAATTTTTTTCCATCTTAGGGACCATTTTGTAATTTAATTTGGAAGATATTTTAAAAAAAGGACTTTTTTACAATTCTTGGAAAATGTGACAAGTGTCATATTCTCATGGAGCCACTTATCGGCATTTGGGTGGGGAGGCTTGGAAGCATTATTTATTGACATTTGGAAGGTCAAGATTCACCCACTTGTTGGCCTAGGATTGGAGCACTTGTTGGCTTAGATGGTTGACAAGTGTAGGCTTGAGATTAAGCCTAAGAAGGAGCCGTTGATTTGTGACAAGTGTAGGCTCACAAATTGGTCTTGCATTAGTGTGTGTGAGAGAGATAGTGTAAGATCACATAGTGAGTGGAGGATTTCTATTTCTTCCACTTACAATTAATCTCAGTTGTAACATTATCTTCTTCACCACAAACCCTAGCCACCATTAGAGGAGCTTGATGCTTAGGCTTTGACCTTAATATTTGAGAGCCTTCCATTTACCTTAGACTTAAAACCTTAGGAGACAAAAGTTTCCTCTTGCTCTCCTCTCTAAAACCCTTGTCTTGTTTTCCATTTTTGAGCTTGGTTACTTGGGATTATAGAGATTCAATTATCTATTGAGGTAGGGGGTGTTATAGTTTATTTTTCAAGTGATTTTAATTGCTTTTGTAATGGAATATAAGTGATTTGCATTTTTTAATGTTAATTTGAAAAATTAATGATTGTTGTAACTTGCATATAATTCACTTTTGACTTGGTATATGGAATGGCCTTCACTTGATCCTTGTTATATAATTAATTGGAGCCATTTAAATGAGTTTTCAAATCTAGAGATTTAAATGAATTTAATTTGATTTAAATTCTATTTAATTGTACAATGCTTGTTTTCCATTTTTGACTTGATATATGGCATAACCATGACTTAGTTCTTGTTATATATTTATTTAGGATCAATTGAACAACTTTGAAAAATTAGATATTTAATTAATTTAAATTAATTAAAATCTACAGGATGATGTCTTGCACATTTTGCTCTTTTGATTTGATATATGCAATGAGCATGGTATGTTGTTTAACATCTATTAATTTGAGGTTATTTGGGATAGATTTGAAATCTAGTGACTTTCCTTAATAAGGTTGAAAATCTCTTAAAATATAGTATTCTAATTACCTTGTGAGCATGCTACTAACTTGATGTATAATTAGTACTCATGGCCGCTTAAAATGCTAATTGGATTAATATGATTTAGAGTATCATTGATTTGCAAAGTCTTTTTAAATGTATCTTGTGTAGGTATATAGCTTGTTAAAATATCATAATTGTTTACTTTGGAAGCTAGTTACTAAATTGAAGCTTACTTAGTGCTTGTGGCTTAGGATGGTAATGTGGCTCAATTGTTCTGAAGTATTCTTAATTTGTGTATAAATTACATATTGAAGGCGTAACTTGTCATATGCTATTTAGACTTGAATTCTATGACATGAATTAGGTGAATTTAACCTTAGTTGTGCATGGAATATGGTAACTTGCATTTGATTTTGCAAAAGTTTTGAACTTATTGATTTAATTTGGAAAGCTTGTGATGACATAAATTATGTGGTGGCTAGGGTTTGGCTCTAGTACGGAGATAAAAGTCTTCTAAGTCATAAGTGCGCACTAGGTGGTACCTTGTGGGTCGTAATTACCCGAAAATACTTGCTTGGTCTAGAGACCGCATGTCCTAGTCTTTCCACTATTTGATTTCGCATTTAATTTCAAGTTGTTATTTATGGATTACTTGTAGCTTGAGAATTAATGCTTGCTTTGGATATTTGAATCCTGTTTAGTATACTTGAACTTGTATACTTGCTCCGTGAGTTTAAATTTCATTTAGTATGCTTGTGCCGTGTATACTCGCTTAATCGTATCTCTTTTTGCTTAGTATGTTTGTGTCGATATACTTGATTTAGGAGATTTTCATATAAGATGCATAGTTGTGTAAATATGCTTAGATATTGCATGACTTGTCTTAACATTGTTTAGTATACTTGGAAATGTATGCTTGTATGTTGTATAACATGTTTTGACATCGTTTAGTATACTTGAGCATGTATACTTGTATGCCGTAGTTCATTTCAATTGCATGAGTAGCTTAGGATGCTACCTGAGTCTCACCTTGACATAGACGTTAGGTGGCATGACCCTTTTGAATTGTTTCATGTCATTATAAAAATCTATATAGAAATCGAGTCGATGCATGCTCATTCTCTACAAGTAAACTTGTTTGCTCACCCCGAAATTACTGGGGGATTTATTCAGGTACAGGATTCAAGATTGGAGATTTGCACTTGCCTTAGGTGATTATTAGATTTGAAGCTTCTTTTAAAGTATTCTTGTTCACATGCAAGTGTTAGCATGTTTAAGTCTAGCTTTTAAAGATGTAATACTTAGTTAGCTTCAAGATGTCATTTTTGCCTTATAACATGTAAAGTGTACTTGGATACACTGTGGGACCTATTTGATATGTATGACCTGAGGCTAAGGGCCATAAACTTTTAAGTTCAATTATATGCATTTTGATTCCAAGTTTTGCTTTTGAAATGTAATCTTACTAACTTGGAGGATTGACATGTCAAAATTTGTAAATTTTATGTAATAAGGCAATGGGCCATTGTAGCACACTTCAATATGTGAATTACACTTGTTGGCATGCTTGTATAGCTTAAAATCATGTTTTTGGTCCACATTCATGTTAGGGTTTGAGGTTTGGGTGAAGCCTCAACAAATTTTGTTCATAACAGGTCATGCAGCAGCATTTCAAGGAGTTTCGGTCGACCGAAACTCTATTTCGGTCGACCGATGCCTCAAACTGGTCTACCGAACTAACCAAGGCTTAAAACCATATTTTCAAAAAGTATTTTGTGAGTTTCGGTCGATTGAAACTCACCCTACTTCTATTTCGGTCGACCAAAATAGCCCTCATTTGCGCAGCTCTTCAGTTCAGTTTCAATACTGATGGTCCAACTTCGAAAGGCCATAACTTCTTCGTTCTTTATCCAAATGGGGTGATTCTTGAGCCTAAACTCAAGGATTTTGAGTCTGATTTCCAATGGTACCTATGTAATTCTCAGATTCCAAACAAAGTGAGAGATATTTATGTTTTAGTTGAATAGTGTCAATTTTCACTTCAACCGAAAAAGGGCAATTTATGGGATTCTTGGCCAATGTTCTTAAAACCTCTTGGAATGTCTTGAAATGATTAGATTAGGTTGTATTCACCTTTTTTGACTTCTTTAGAGTCAAGTTTCTCTCTTTAATTGTGAATTGACCGTTTTGCCCCTTTGATAACGAATTTTGTCCTTTTTTGACCTTTGTTTCCGCTTTTGCTCTCTTTAAGTCCCATGATCTCATGAAAGGTCACATTAGTGTCTTAGGAGTAATTCTTATCTCTTAAGACCTTGGTTTATCATTTACTTCAGTATTTCGGATCCATTATCGGATGAACTTTCGGTTCATCATTGACGCACCGGGTTGAAAAACTTGGGCAGTTACAAGTGGTATCAGAGCTCCTAGGTTTGAAAACCTTAGGTCGAGGGTTTTGGGTGCATATCATGCTCTATAGGTTTGTATGTTTCATTATAACATGTTTTGGTTTGATTACATGTTTATGTGCTTATATGCTATATGTGGTATGCCGTTGTTTAGCATAACTTTATTCCCATGTAAAGAGCATGACATGTGATATATGCTAGAGTAAAATTGTATATGCATAATTGTTTTGCATCTTTGGCAGGACTTGGGAATAGTCATTGGATGTTCGAGTTGAGTTTGAGTTGTTTAGTGAGTTTGCACTTAGTGCAATGGTTGGTGTGTTTGGTTTTGTTTAGGCACTCTTCTTTGAGGTTGTTGGTGATTGTCCACATGGTTTTATGGTAGTGTAGGTTGTTGTCGACCTAGTATTGGTTTTGAGATAGGTAGTGAGACGCCTTTTGTTTAGGCTCTCATGAGGTGAGTCATTTGGCATTTTCATAGTGCTGGATTTGTTGGTTTTGGGCCATGATGAGGTTATGGACCTCTTAGAATCCTTAGTTGATCGGGATGATTCCTCTGGGATTGTAATTTTTGTGGGCAGGTACGTTGTGGGCGGGTGCAAGGCACTGTCATGCTACCGTACTGGTTAGCTACAAGTGCAGTTCGGATGGAGTCAATGTTGGTTTTGTTTTGATAGTTGTTATCCTTTTGATCGATGATGATTATAGTTGTTTTAGGGATCAATCGTAGTGATTGATTTGGTTGTTGTTGGTATGGCTATAGTTACCATTTTCTTTGAGTTTTCCTTACATGATGACGCTTTTGGGATCAAGTCGATTGATTGATGTTTGGGTAGAAAGAGCATTGCATTGTTAGTGTCACTTATAGTGTCACCTTTAGATTTAGAT